TTTTTTTTTTTTTTTTTTTTTTTTTTGTCGAAAGAACAGCCTGGATAGCTTAAGCCCACACAATGGAGTCGTTTGCTGAGGTGTTAATTTCTTAGGATATTATTGCTAATAAATTCATACCATGGTGTTAAACACGGACTTGAAACTCGTTGCTTTCATAGTAACTTACCGTGGACTTTAAGCCCTTACATTTTCTAATAGTTGTACACATTTTCACTTATCATAAATAAGTATGACAGCATCACTTCGTGTTATGAACAAGTTTCTTATTTTTCCTGGAGGTCAATGCTATTGTGGCTTCATGTCAATTTCGTAGAGAATAATCAAGCTACTAAATATGCTGGAAGTAATATCAACTCCAAAGAGGACATCAAATTTTCAATACCATCAAATGTTATTCAGCAGATTATCTCTCATTTCTTTGTTTTGGAATACTTAAGTGAAAGAGGAATAGTTAGATTCTCAATGGAATAAATCTTATGCAATGGTGTTGTGCTTTCTAAATTACACATGCTATATTTCCTTCAGACTTTGGTTTTGTTTTGTTTTATTTATTTATTTAAATTTTGGTGCTAATCATATATATATGAAAGTTGATCCTTTGTTGGGGCAGCTTCTTTGGAGTCTAGGCCAACAGTTGATTAGTGAATACATTTTGTGGATAATATACAAAATATGTATATGCTCAATACCTTTAGATATTAGAAGATGTCTGTCTGCACACATGGGTGTGTGTTTTTGTACATGTGCTTGTGCTGTGTTATTTGTCTTGTTTGGACAGGAGGTAGGTCTTCAGATTTTGTAAATAAATAAATCTTTTGTTCTTGCTGTTTTCTTCTTGAGGAGGGTTTGATTGATGAAAAATGTGGTCAGAAGCTGCAGGGTTGATGAGCACTGAAATTGGCTAGGATAAACTTAGAGTAGCCAAACTTAGGCAGGAGCATAGCTTATTATAAACTAGTTGATGCTCCCTTTTCAAGTCAAAGTTGTTCATATATTGATGGGCTTGATTTTGACCCTCAAATATTTGTTGACATTGCTCTTAATTGATCTTGATATTATGCTGTGTGTGTCTACTAGGAAATGAAGAAACTTATAAATTTTTCAGTAAAAAATTGCTCATATTTAACAAGAAAGGAATACAATAAGCCAAGTGATCCATATGGGCAGACCATTTTCGGGTAAGCACATTTAAAGAACGTGGAGAGCTGGAATTACTTCAGTAGACTTAATCTCAAACAATATCTGTTACCTGTCTTTGCCTCATTTTCTTTCTTGCTCTTTTTCTCTCTTCAAATAATAAATGCTGAATAAGTTATTTATGTTGATTTGAATGAGCAAAACTGATCAAATATTCTGATAAAATTCATGATCACTAAGAGGATGGAAATGGAGAAACTTGTGTTACAGCAGGTTTTGCTGCTTTTTGTGTTTTTTCTTTTTTCATACAACAGAAATTCATAGTGTGCTCTGAGTAAGAGCTAGTTATTGTCAATAACTGTTATTGACGCAACTGGATATATTTCCTGTTTTATGTCTTGCCTTGAGTAATTTAGCTATTCTTTTTTCTTTTGTCCCATGAAATTAAGTGGTGTTGGGAGCAAGAACTTGGCTTTCCCATATGTTTACCACTTTCCCTTGGGAAAAGGTGGAAGGAGAAGATGGCTCATAAACCAGGAAGTACTTTGTTTAAGTCTGGGTGTATTTAGTCATGCTTTATGGGCTCACTGGAAATGAAGGGAACTAGGTTCTAAACTTGATTATAAAAAAACACTAATACATTAAACTCTTGAATGTACAAATATTGTTAGTTTTTGTATTTTCTTGGGCCGTTCTCCGTTTATCATGTGTGTACTGTATACATATGCATATACGGATGGATGCATATATATAACTATATTCAGCTTACATATACAGATTTATTTTTAACGTTTCTTAAGGTCATCATGTTAGAAATCTTTAATTTCTTTTTTTTTTTGGGGGGGGGCGCGCAAAGGGTGGTCATATATTTTTGTCTTTGAGTAATATGCCATCAGAACCATTAAAATTCTATCGAAAAAGCATGTCAAATGTTATTCTTTGATACTTTCTATTTTCTTGCACCAAAATTCCATTAGTTGGTTGGAATCAAAATGCTTCTCTCTTCCTCACCCTCCCCTCTCACAAAGCTGGTGTTTGGAGAATTTTACTGCTGAAACTTTTCTGAGATTGGAATCACTTTTGACGATATCCTCATTTCTAGGCAATTGTGGGAAGATTTAATATACAAAAATACATCTTGGTTCTTTAAATTTCAACTTATATATGTATGATGGTATAAATGATTGGCGTGACTTTGGAGAAGAGATCACTGAGTAGGTCTAAAGAAATGAAAGGGTGGTCCAGAGTTTAAAGGAAGTTGTTTAGCAGAGAGAGAATTCTATACTTCTTACTTTTTTTATTGTCTTAGTGCTAAGGGTACCTTAATTTAGTGTGTCAAATCTTTAAGTTTTCCACTCCATCTTCACATGGGAAATATTCATTTTGGAGAAAGCAAAAGTTTCCAAAGATTGGGAAGAAGTTTGTTAGAGAGAGAAGTCTTAGTTCTTAAGGCTCCTGACAGAAGACAGCTTCTTGGTTATCTGAAGTTGTCTTTTAATTCAATGACATAACATTTCCTTTAGTTTTTGACTTCACCTTTACTGTTTTGCTTGACCAATATTCTGGGTTTTAGGAATTTCAAAATCATGCTTTGCTTGTTCTCTTTTTGAAAGTAGATTATTAGTCCAACAGTTGATTTGTTGGGAAGAGATGCTGGTCCCTACAACACTCTTTAAGCGAATATATGCTCATCTCAAAACGAATCTGAAGGCCCCATTTTCCGAGGCCCGCATTTTCATTTTTATGCATTTGGAACAGAAAATGGAGCACTACATTTCTCTCTCTCTCTCTCTCTCTCTCTCTCTCTCTTTCTTTTCTTTATTTATGCAACATTGAAAGGCTAAGCCATCATTGATACACATGGTGTTTTTGGTCTAAAGTGGATACTGTGTTGATCAATTTTTGTCACAGATTGACTGACTGAGAAAATTAGTTTGTGCATAATGTTCGAAGAAAAAAAAATTACGAAGACAAAAGAGCACTTGTGAGTTTGATATGAGTAAAACTCGTCTTTCCATGTTTCATACATCTCTCTATCTCTCTCATTATGTCTCAGCGAAAGGTGTATGAAACATGAGATATGCAAGTTTTTTTCGGTTTGACCCATCCATCTTGGCGGCTCTTATTTTAGTTTGGTTACAATTTAATGTAAAAGCAAAGAGCACCATGCAATATGCTCGCTTGCAGCTACAACAGTCTTGGCCAACAATAAAAGCATTCATTACTTTAGTGAGCTCCCAACCAACACCAGCACGTTAGTCAACAACATTATCTCCCGAAAAGATAGAAAAAGAAAAAGAGAATGAATATGTAAGGAAAGAAAAAGAATTAAAATGATTAAAAAAAAATAAAGCAAAAAAGAACGCACAGCAGCAGCATCCTGCAGTCTTTGCTTTGCTCTGCTTTCCATGTAAGCTGCTTTGGCCTCCCAACCCATCTTGTCTCTTCAATCAAATTTATATTGCACAGACTCTGTTATTGCACTTGCTGTTCTTGCCTTCAAAACTCTGCAGAATCTGAAAAATTCAGTGTCTTAGATTTTGCTCATGTGCTCTTGAACCTTGATCATTGTTGGGAAGAAAAAATCCCCAAGCCATCCAATCCAAATACCAATCTTCAGGTAAACTTTTGTTTCTATTTAGTCTTTGTGTTAATGTCTAGGGCAAATTGTATTGAATGATTTGCCCTACTGTCTGAAATTACAATTCTCTCTGAAAAAAGTGAACCAGAGGGAAGAAAGAAAAATATGATATTGAGAATATCAGCAAAATAGAAATTTTCTGTGGGTGGTTTTGGAATTTAGATTAGTGATGGGGTCTCTAGGAGGCAGCCCAAAAACTTGGATACCATATATGAACACCAAAGATTGTTCTCAAGGGTTTTGCAGTCTGTATTGTCCACAATGGTGTTACAGGATAATACCACCTCCACCTGTCTTTGAGTTTCCTGAGGACAATTCATCTTCCCCAAGTTTCTCTCCTCTTGTTATTGCAATTATTGGCATTTTGGTGAGTGCTTTTCTTCTTGTTAGCTACTACACTATAATATCCAAGTACTGCGGCAATGCGGACCGGAGGAGAGCAAGAAGAGAAGATCAGGAGCAGAATGAGGAGATGGAGGACCCTCACAATCCCTCCATCCATGAACCCTGGCATGTCGTGACGGCCGGCTTAGACGAGGCTCTGATCAAGTCATTAACAGTTTGTAAGTACAAGAAAGGAGATGGATTTGTTGAAGGAACAGATTGCTCAGTTTGTCTGAGTGAGTTTGAAGAAGATGAGAGGCTTAGGCTGTTGCCTAAGTGCAACCATGCTTTCCATCTCCCATGCATTGATACATGGCTTAAATCTCACTCAAATTGCCCATTGTGTCGTGCCAACATAGTTCCTCATCAGTTGCCTCACCCTGCCGTGACTGAAACTCCATCATCAACCAATCATGATGCATCATCCATGGCTGAAAGCCAACCAGCAAATGATCAAAATGTTGTCACGGCACAAAATTCCGAAACTTCTCAAAATGTGGAATCAATGCAAGGAGATCATGAAGGGTATCATCAAGCAATTAGAAGGTCGGTTTCAATGGACGATTGGCGTCAGAATAATCGAGTTTTAGTAGCTGATATTCTGAGCAGGAATGATGAAGAGGACGAGGAGGACGAGGAGGACGATATGAACTCAGAGTCAGATGATATTGCTGAAGGAGTTGGCAAATCTAGCAATAGAAAAGGGGTGCTCCTGCATTGTGTTATGAGTCCTGTTGCAATGAAGAGATCATTTTCAAGTGGAAGATTCTTTCCCACTAGGCCTTCAAGAGCACGGAATACAGTACTTCCAGTCTAGAAAACTTTTTGTATTTTGTTTTCTTTTGGGGAATGTGGATTAAGCTGGCAAATCAAACAGTTTGGTCCGGATTAATTAGCTATTACAATTATTTGTTCATGATCCATTAATGAGTGATTTGTAATTCTCTACCAATCGAAAATTATAGTATACAACTAGTGTATAAAATATCCTTTTTTAGGTACTAAAACCAACTTATGAAGGTCGTTCTTGTCAAGAGGGCATTGTATACACATGTTGTATTCTAAAATTTTTTCCGATTAATATTTTATTTGTTTGGAGTCATTTGTAATTATTTTTGTTACCCATGGGATAATACTTGATCAATTTTGGATTTGCATGTTCAAATTTTATAAATAGTCATTTGGATAGAGTGATTTCAAATTTAGATTTTGTTTTTGACATGTCAAATTTAGAGAAGTTAAATTTTTTATTTAAACTATCAAGATTCAGGGGCCTTAATCTTTGACAAGATTTGAGTAATAAAAAAAAGAAAAAAAAAATCAAATGAATTATTTTTTTGCGTTTAATTTATTTATTTCATTTTTGGCCAACATAATTACTTAGGCATTTTTTTTTAGCACAAGCGTTTGGGGGAGGGAGGTTTACACAAATATTCATTAAGAGTTTGGGAGTTTCAAACATGCGCACATGAGTGGAGGTCGAAGAACTCAACCAACTGAGCTATACCCCACTAGCCTTAGTCTTAAATCCTAACAAATGTTCCTTTGCCAACGAATGAAAAAAATGAAAAAATGAAAAGAAAAAAAAAAAAGCATTTCGAATGAATCATTTTGTGCTTTTAACTTATTTATTTCATTTTTTGCCAACATAATTGCTTAGCATTAAATCCTAACACATGTTCCTTTGCCAACAAAAAAAGTTAAACACCCCAACTTCTATTTTCATATATTAAATCTAGAAGTACGGTTTGATCAAAATAGAATAGCCACGGATCCCCGGCTCAATACTACCAACATTGATATTGTCTTTAACTTAATCAGCTACGTAATTTGGCAGGTGTGTGGTTTTATACAAAAATTCTGGATATTATTAACAATGAAACTATTCATTATATGTTGTATTTTATTTTGTTGAGTTTTTGACGTGGGACTCATATTCTTCAACACACTCCCCCATATATGCAACCAATTCCACATTAGTAACTTTTTTATATTTTATTCGAGGTTTCAAATTGGAGATTCATTTTATTAAGGTTCAATTGGCCCCGTAAATCGGCCACGTATGATACTGATCGGTGCATATTTACATATCATTTTGTACCCTTCTAGCTTATGATTTGGTTATGTTTTTGAGTTAAACTTGTGCTTTTAATCCTTTTTGTGTTTATCTTTCAGTTCATTGAGCTTTAGGTAATAATGAGGGCTTTGGATAGTAAATGATGCAATCCATGCATGTTAGGGCCTAATTTGGATGAATGGATGAAGAGCTTAAAGACAAACTCAATTTTGGCTACAGTCCCCTGCCAGCTCAGTTTCGTAGGTCATATTGCAAGCTTTGTTTCAGCAACCTACATAGCTCGGATGAGGCCACATTCTTCATGAAAGTTGTTCCAATGGGTGTGTAATATAACATATCCAAAATTCAGCCCCATTGGATAAATATGGAGTCTGTTAACTAGCAAACACAGAGCCATGCTCAGGATGGATTTTATCAGCGCGCAAAATGAGTTAGCAATTTGTTTTGGCCTTAACTTCCTTCTCCGACCTTGGATTGGCCCAAATGATATATGGCTAAAAAGAAGACATTCTGAACTTCAAGTTCGAGTGCTTAAAGTCTTAATTTGCTTAAGGGAAGCCCAATTCGTAAGCCCTTGAAGTTGCTGGTCATGCTGACCTCAGCATGTGCTGGTTGGATGCTTGGTCATGGTGAGCTAGGTATGAGCTATCATTTCTGGTTGGAAGCTTGGTCATGATGACATGAAGATGAGCTAGGGATGCTGGTGGGATTTATT